CTTGTAACCTTCACTGTAATTAGCCTGCGGTGCACACTGACATCTCTCATCTTCAGTAACACACCCATACACTTAATGACATCGTAGTTAACCATAATTACACGGACAACATGATTAGCTGTGATTACACTGTCGTCCAATTGCTCTGATGACTCCTGCCGTTGTCGCGTAACTGCTCTGTAATCACTGAGGACCTTTTCATTAGTAACACCCTTAATTATTCTGTAATGTCAAGCATCTGTGAATCGTTTAAAAGACTGAGCCACTGTTTCTTCATGTTTATTACAAATCAAGTACGCTCCAGATATAAATTTTTTAGACTCCCTCTGGGCCTGTTTCCATACATTATGAAAATGAAGTAGCAGAGACCTGGCAGCACACTGAGGTACAGTCAGGTCTATGAATTAAATCTTTTAATTTTACCCTGTAAATAAAGTTTGTTTTGAATCATTTTGCTCCTGTTTCACCTGCTGCAGGGCCTCACTCACAAATCTAATTCATCTTCTTCCAAAATATGATGTAAAACTGAGACTTCACATGCAGCCTAGAGAGTTTTGATTGCAAACAGATTCTGAGATGAAAACACAGTTCACTACATGATGTACTGACGTGCCTCGGAGCCAACACTAACTGATTCTAACAGACAGAATTCTACATTGTGTGTTGAGTCCATGGATGGCATGGTGGTGCAGTGGTTAAGTGATTGCAGTGAGTTCAGACCTGCGTGTCTGGTCAGCTGGGGCCCTTCTGTGTGAAGTTTGCATGTTCTCCATGTGTCAGCGTGGGTTTTCTCTGGATACCCTGGCTTCTTCCCACAGTCCAAAGACATTGATTTTAAGGCCCAGACACACCAGACCAACTTCACAGAACTAGCCGCAATGAAACCTGACAATTGCGTTGCCCCATGTCGTCTGTGTCTCGACCAAAAACTTGCACATAAACACACCACAGCTAGAGCAAGACTACAGCCGAAGGTCCACCAGTACTCAGGTTCTGCGCCTGCATGAGAGGAGATAATTCTCCACATCAGCAGACGGCGGGAGTCTATGTTCGTCATTCAGAAAGGGTTACTGGAGGACTGACGCTAGTTAGCATTTAGCACATTATCAACGCAAATTTGTTTTGATGTCCCTCAGTCTTGACTTGAGTCGTTCATTTACTTTCCTCACTTCCCTTTCTCATCTTGTGCACTTAGCCGAACTGCCAGTCAGAGTGATTTCAATCAGCAACGGACTCTTCCGTCTACAACACTGATTAAACCTGCTGAATCGTCCAAAAAAGGCTGACAGGGGCCAATGAGGGGCAACAGTGAGGGACACACTGCACTGACGAGGGTGACAGATGCTCACTGACAGCCCAACCTAGAAGGACAGCTGACCGTCGGCTTGGGAAGCTGGGCTCAGCCTTAGAGATAAGGCGAGGAGCTTAGACCTCCAGAGGGAGCTCGGAGTAGAGCCACTGCTCCTTCACATTGAAAGGGGCCAGTTGTGGTGGTTCAACAAATAAAACTAATGTAGAAATGTGAAGCATGATATTTCAATTGACAACTTTGTCATAATATTATTATTTAATCATATACACTCTTATTGAACTCAGACTTTTCAAGCGTCAGGTGCGAAAATCAATAATTTTTATCTCAGACCAACAAAACCAAACAACAGCAGAGAATTCACCTTAAAATTTGTCCTGCAGTCTGTTTTCACCGCCGTCTGGTTTTAATGTCGTTAATGCTCAAGGTCAAGTAGTGAAACCAGACAAGACACGAAGAGAAACCGTAACAACAGCCGTCATTATGTCATCGCTCACGTTTGAACTGTTATCTCAGGTCAGTGAATACGTGAGGTCAGAGCTGTTTGTATCTGTGTCTGTCCTCTGTCGTACAGACCTCACGTCTGTGATTACTTAAAAATGTGTGTGTGAAGTGAACACACCTTTCTGCGCAATGTTGCCTTGGAAACTGTGGAAACTGAACACAGAGCTCGGCTTCGCTTCTCAACCGCAACAAGTGAAGGGGTCACTTGTCATTTGTGCACCACACACACACAGACACACACACACGGATTCATACTTTAAATGACAGTTTTGACGTAAGGCATGTAATCACTGGAGCGTGGCGGCTCTTGGTGTGTATAATGGCCGCGTCGCAGTCGTCCTGAGCAGAAGGCGTCACTCTGCTCCATTAGAGATGAACAATAAGTGATTGTTGATAACAGCTGACACTGATGGGACTGTTTACTGCCTCTGGATCTGTGACTAAGACCTGGTGTGATGACTGAGCAAAGTTTGCAGGGTTACCTCTTGTTAAAGTCAACTTTGCTGTCCTTGATGTCAAAGTCATTGCAACTAAGAATGAAGACGCCTCGCCCTGAGTATGCAAATGTAAAAAAGTATGAGGTGTAAATTATATTAATGTCTAATCAGTAGCTACACTTTGGGCTTTGTTCATGCTGTTGAGAACAAAAACAGTGTCAGATTCACATGTGAAGGCTCTCTGCTTGTTGGGCTCATGACAATTGTGAGACCTTAAAGGAATCCTTCACCCCCAAAATGACTTATTTTTAAATCAGTCACTCAACCTGTGTTACATTGAATTTGTGAAGAAAACCTTTTTTTCGTTCTGGCTTGCCTCCACAGTAAACGTAGAATCAGAAAAGTGTTGATGAATTGAATTGAACAACAGCAAAACTCTATCAAAACATCTGTTTATCAACTCTCACACAACTCACGCAGTATAACCCAAGTCACACTTATCAAGCTGTACGCTCAGTACTTTCCAAACATAAGCAATTTTTCTAAAACGTTGCAATATAAAACCAATAGTGTGTCCTAAATGTGCCCAGGCAAGCACGCGCTACTCGTCCACACATGAGACTGTTTGTGCAAAAGCATTTTAAAAGTTAAAGCAAGGTTTATACTTCTGCATACCTACGTCGCAGAGGGCTTTACGGACGCGTGGCGTCCCTCTGCAACCAACGCAGAGACGCGACATGCACCTCCAAAAAATTGTAATCACCATCGAGGCAACGCAGACCCAACGCAGACTGCAAGAGCTATGATTGGTCCTTCAAACTACATCATTTCCGGCATTTCGCAAGGTTTCACTTCCTGCTGCAGCGTCACATATTCGCCTGTAGTCTGCCTCGAGCCATTCAAAGGGCGTACAGACCACCAGCACAGTCACCTCTCTCTTCGTTGTCGTCGTAACATTTGTAATAAGAGCATTTGTTGTTCAATGTCGATCATTTCGAGCTCCAGCAACAGTCTTTCTCTCTCAGTTGCCATCTTCACTGTGACTAGAGCAAAGCCGGAAGATAAACAAACAATGAACGGGCAACGACCACAGACGTCACAGAGTCTAGGTAGGTATATAAAAGAACACTGCGCCCCCAAGTGCTTTGGCGGAGAATTGCATAGCGACATAGACCAACAGGACGCAGAACTATGATAGGCACACAGCAACTGCGTGCACGTTGTGTTGAGTGTACGCAGAAGCATAAAGGAACTTAGAGTGTGTAAGTTTTCGGGTCTTTAGTGGCATCTAGTGGTGATGATTGCAGACTGCAACCAGATAAAAACTTCTCCCAGCTAGAATTCCTTCAGTGTTTATTATTCAGGAGGTTCTTACTGGGAGCCAGATTATCCACAGAGGTCTCCTCCTCTCCCAAACAAATGAAGTTTTAAAAAATTACTGAATACAGCTGTTTCATGTTTCAATATTTTCCCCCCAACACTGCTAATTGTAGATGGTCCTTTAACTAGGGTGGCTGACGCGAAAAGGCTAATGTCCCTATCTAGAGCCAGTGTTTGGTTTTTCTCTTCTGGGCTACTGTAGAAACATGGCGGTGCAACATGGTTATCTTCTGCTCACTGTGTAGATATGAATGTGTCATTCTAAGGTAACAAAACACACTGATTCTTATTTTCAGGTGATTATATACTAAAGAAAACATACGTGTTATATTACGTGCCAGTTCTGCCAATATATGCCACTCAGTCCTACACAGTGGACCTTTAAATAGTGAGGTTTTAGCAAAAATGCATGAAAGTATTGAGCGTACGACTAGATCAATGGCACTTGGATTATACTACATAAGTTGTGTGAGAGTTTGTAAATGGGTGTTTTGATGTAGTTATGCTGGTGTTACAGGTGGTTACCTTTTACTTCAGTTCCTCAAGACTCTTCCCCTCTTTTGCTATTGTAAATTACTGTGTAGTATTCCTTCAAAACTTGGCAAAGCAAATGCCATCTGTACTGGAAAGAATGCTACTTGTGAGTCTTTTGACAGACAGGATGTGTACTGCAGCCTGACAGTGTGCATTTTGACGGGCAGACACAGTATGGTTTTAGCTCAGCCCCTGTTCTTCTTAGAATCAGTCCGGCTTTCTGTTAGATCTCTTGTCGTTCGGCATACAGTTTGAAGGAAGTCATGACGGCTGATTTACACCCGGAACAATCATAGATGTTGCTCTCAGTGATACTGTTGGATTTCTGGTAGATCAGAAACAGTTTAAGGAGTTCCACAGTCAGATTTCCCTCATGGCTCCTGTCAGAAGATCTGTTATAAACTGTAGTGAGCTTGTTTTGATATTGGTGGAGGAGCATTTTACATGTTGTGACTAAAATTGTTGTCTTGACTTAAAATTAAACCTGAACATGTGCAGCAGAACAGACGGAGCAGACTGTCTGCAGCTTTCTCCCATCTGCTGAAGAGTTGCACAAAATAATTCTGCCTTTTTGGCTCTCATCAGTGTTGTTGTGGATGTGGTTGTTTTATTTGAATAAACTTTATTGGAATTGTCAAAACTCATCAGGCCGCTGTGCCTTCGTTCAGCAAAAGCAGCCTCGTTGTGGCCGCTCACTTGATTCGTATAGTTTGCATAAAAGAGTCACAGTTTGGGTCGTGCACACAAGCTTATTAAAATGCAAAATGTAACTTAACAAAATAAATAAAAATGCACAGTGTCTGCCGAGCTTTAAAGAGGATCCTTGTGTCTTTCAGGTGGGGGACTCAGGGGGACTTCATCACGACTCACCCTCTGCCCTCGGTCAAAGTGAAGCTGTTCACAGAGAGCACCGGGGTCCTGGCTCTGGAGGACAAGGAGCTGGGCCGGGTGAGAGTCCGTCTACACCACACTGTACCACACACACAACACACACAGCTGTAGACACAAAACACACAGCACACAAGATGTTTATCTATGACCTGAGTCAGATCAGCGCTCAGTCTCTTAGATACAGTTTGCTGTAGGAATATTAAAGTTGGTGTTAAATTTTGCAACTCTTCACTTTAGTAGTACTACCTGCACCAGAGTCCTGCACGGGTCCATTTTTGAAAACTGGCAAAGTCCTGCATTCAAAACCATTTTGCCGTGAGGTGACAGTGCTAACCGCTGCACCACCGTGCCACCTCAGTGGAATAATAAGTACAGTACTTACCTCTGAAATGTAGTGTAGAAGAAGTATAAAGTTGCAAAAAATGGAAATAAATTACAAGTACTTGAAAACTGTACAACAGTGCAGTACTTTGGTAAACGTACATAGTTACGTTCCACTGCTGATTTTAGATGTGGATTTGTTTTGAGGTCGTTGTTGGGGATTTGGAAATTGTAATTCTCTGTTCACAGATGAGACACAAATCAACTTGCTCAAAAGTGTTGTCTGCAGGTGGTTTTATGACCGGGAGATCCAAAGTGGTAAATCAAAGGCAGCTGAACTTGCTTTAAAGGTAAACTGTGCAGGAACAAAAATGAGATACACTCCACTGTGCCTTTTGCCTCGCTATATTTGGGTTTTCTTCAGCGCAGGTATTGGTAGCCTTCTCCTGGAAACATGCTGCGCACGGTCCGCCACATGGTCCCCACCTTTTCATAAAGTCCCTGCCTCACCTGTGCACCGTCCCCAGGAACTTCCCAAACACAGCAAAATAAAAGAAAATAAAAAAATACAGGCAGAGTCTCTGCAGAAAAATACACCGCTACACTTCACTATGAGAGTGGGTCATTGAGAAGCATTACCTGTTAAAGTGATGTCTTTGTGTCATTGAGACATAAGTGACTTTTACATCATTTTTCCCTCCAGCTCCATTCAGACATGACAAGACATTAACAGAGAGAGCTCCATGCTCTCGCACCATTTGGGAGAGTTGAGTAAAAAGTTAGGATAGTGAGGAAGAAGAGTTTTCTGTTCTCTGTCAGGCTGCATCACAGATGGATTTTAAAACTGAACATGGTTTTGAACACCATTGTGAGCGTGAAGGACAATCGCCTCCACTTCTGTCGGCGATTTCATATTAGTTCAGTCATTTATTGTTACTGAGCCCAGTTCAGACCAAAGATTCGTGACAAGATGAAACTGTTTTAGAACATTGCAGAGAAAAGTTGCAGCGGTGTGAACTGGCAACTGTGAATCTTTACAGTCATGTTAGCAGAGGAGAAATAAAAAATCTATTAACCAGAACAGGATCCCTGAGGAGTTGATGAGATATTAAAATCAGCTGTAACCTCCCTCAGAGACATGAAGCCACCTGTGTAGGTTTAGACCTTTTAATTACAGACCGATTGAACGGTGAGAAATGAAATCGGCCAGTTGCACCGAGAGTTCAGAAAGTTTCAGACGTCTCTCATGATGTTGGACATGTTAACATGAGTCACACACACAGCCAGTTTGTGTAAGCGGAATTCTGATTGAGATGAAGGCAGACAGTTCGGACTGTGTGTGTGTGTGTGTGTGTGTGTGTGTGTGTGTGTGTAGCTGCTGTTTGACCATGTGAAAATACAACAGAGCCGGGACTTTCCAACATGTGATTTTAGGGGAAATTTAAAAAAGTGGTTGAATTTCCACTACCTCCCTCCCTTCCCTAAATTCAGTCCATTTCCACCACGAATAATTATCCAAACGTGTCTAGAGAGAGAAACTGATCGACCAATCCAGAACAAGATGTCTACCTTCAGTACAACAGTCACAGTGCTGCAGATGCAGAGCACCTACATCTATGATACAGGTCACAAACTACAAACTAGGGATGCACCAATCCAAGGGTCTGTTTCCCCCAAATTAAAACCCATATTGCTCAGTGCATGGAACTCACAGAGTGCTCCAGAAATGAGTCCTAAAGCCTTAAAAAGTCTTAAAAAAGACTGTTGCTAAAAAGTAATAATAAATACATTTGTATAGAACAGTTCATACAGCACGTGCAACTCAAAGTGCTTTACGTAATAAAAATGAGAAAATCCAGATATGTAAGACAGTATAAATAGAACAAATACATAATCACACACACACATAAAAAATACAAATTAGTTTTGATACCAGTTAATTAAATAAAAGCTTTTGTGTAAAGCTGTCTACTGAATAAGAGAGGTCATCTGTAAGGCTGTTTCAGAGACAAGGATCAACGACACTGAACGCAGCATCACCGTACTTTATAGTTCTACTCTGGGGTACACTGAGTAGACCAGAGGTGGAGGATCTGAGGGATCTGTAGGGAATGTATCTGACCAACATATCAGATAAACAGTCAGGAGCCAGTCCATGAAGAGATTCAAAAACTAAAGGCACAATTTTAAAATGAATTTTAAAATGAACTGGGAGCCAATGAAGAGACTTTGTTCTACGACATAAAATACATCAGTGAACACCCCACTCTTTGATTTTAAACTTTTATGTGTCGTAAAGAAGATGGATGCTCACAAGTGGATAAATGAAGCTACAGAATGTCTTCACACCAAACACGGCTCTACAGCCACGTTGTCGTGGCAACGCTGAAGTCATCAACTGTGCTGTAGTTCGTTCATAGCCCAGTGTTGGCTTTTTCCTTTGGCAAGCGCATGTATGCTTCAACAATTATAAAAGAGATGTTAATTTGTGAAGATTATCTTGTTGAACAAAACGTGCAAGTATCATAAACAGATCTTATTTTCTGCAGTTATACCAAATCCAACAGACAAATCCCACAAGCTTTCTGATGAGGGAACAAGAGTGATGCTAACTTCCACATCAGCCTACAGAAACACATCATCCCTGCAGCACTCTGTCGGCATCATTTTTATTTAAATATGAAGCCAGAACTTGATGAGGCATTAAAACCTGAGTCTCCGTCAGTGCGTGCCTACACCAAAGACGCTTGTCTTAAGGTCTGTCTGGTTGATCTGCAACAGAGACAGTCAGCGTCCTTACTATCTGGATATCGATTATATTTAGTGTAGTGTGGCTTGTTTCATGTTGGATGTAAAAGAAGAAGATATACTTTGTTAATCTCCACACACAGGCCTGAAATACACACACATGCACAAACCTGTGTCCTCACATGCTTTAAATGGAGAGATGTCAGAGTGAGGGGGCTGCCCATGGGCAAGCACCTCCAGCAGCTGGGGGTTGGGTGCTTTGCTCAAGGGCACCTCTGCAGTGCCCAGGAGGCGAAATGGCACTACTCCAGCTATCAGTTCACACTCCATATATGGTCCGGATGGGGACTTGAACTGGCGACCCTCAGGCTTGCGAACGTGTGAACTGTCATGTTGTTGTTTTTAAGAGACTCACTTTACTGTTTAGGTTCTCTTGCTCTCTCCTGAGACTCTCTCTGTCTTACAGGCACAAACACAAGTGTTGTTGTGTTTTTTGTCTCTAAATCCTAAAACTGTCTGTCAGTAGATGGCTGAATAGACACATTGGTACCTGAAAGTTATCCATCATAGCAACCGTAACTAAGGGGCAGGGGTGTTCTGTTCAGCTGGAAAACTGTTTGTTGATTTCCTTAAATCTGTGCTCACATATTTCAACCATCATGGAAAACAACACATCATCATCATGATTTACTGCAGCCTCCTGTCACAACCTGACGTGCTGATGTCATTCAAAGAGAGATCACCTATTGGCTGTTGACGGATGACACTGTGATACCACTGTTAATTATTATCCTGAGCAAGAATGATGGGTATTAGTTGATTGTGTTATCAGTTAAAAAGAGTTCACAGAACTACCACTCACAATAAAAATCCTCTTTGCCCCGCCCCCTCCTCAGGTGGTCATGAATCCAACCACGAACGGGCCGAAGCAGGCCGAGTTCCACCGGATGGTCGTCCCCAAGAGCAGCCAGGACACAGAGCTGAAGATCAAACTGGCCGTCCGCATGGACAAACCGCCCAACATGAAGCACAGCGGGTGAGTCTGTCGGAGTCACAGGGTCGGGTCCTCTACGGGGTCAGGTGTGTTGGGGCTGCAGTGTGGAAGGCTTCACAGCAGAACAGGTCTTTGCAGGGCTACATTTCAATATCTCTGTCGGTACCTTATGACAACACTGTTACAGCAGGACTCAAAATGTAGGCACACTGTACCCGTCAGAAGCGTCAGGCAGTCGGGCTACCTCAGCAGCCGTGCAGCTACGCAAACCTTTGGTAGTTTCAGCAGACCGCTCCAACTCTGATTGGTGAGTGATCAGCTCCTGAACAGTGAAAGATGACGTGGAAAAAACATGGATGCGAGAAAGATGCGTATGATTTCTGACCGTTCTCACAGCGGTCACATGGCCAGTGATCAGATATGCGTCAGATTTAGGAGCACATATGAAAGTGGCCCAGATCTGATTCCTGTGTCCACACTGCTCTGAAGAATTCAAATCCGTGTCACAAGATTAATGAAATCAATTTTCCCACAGTAACATGAACGTAGCCTTAAGTCTTCATGACTGATTGATATCATCCTCCTTGTTAAACACAGACTTCCCTCTAAAATTAAAAAGTTTGACATTGCCAAAAGCAGGGCTGTTATTCTCTGTGCTAACGGCAGCTGCGCTCTCTCAGGCAGCTGTGAGAGCCGTGCACGACAGAATTACGCAGACTTTCTGCCAGCTTTCCACAGGAGGTGGACGCTGTGATCCTGCCAGTTCCACTGTGGAGAGGAAAAGTGTAAAAATTATTTTGTGTATTTCATAATTCCCAGAGTTACATAACTCTACCCTGTTGAAGAGAAAAATCTTAATCGTGACAGAAAGTCAGTCAGAAAAGTGATATTATTATTGTTTACACTCTGATGTGCAGTGGTGGACGTTCAGACAGAAAACAGCTCTGTGTGTGTGTGTGTGTGTGTGTGTGTGTGTGTGTGTGTGCGCGCGTGTGAGAGTTTGTGCTGATTCAGGTCCGATGAGGAAGCTGCAGGAAGTTCAGTCTGACTAACAGATCGATGAGTGTGAAGGTTTAGCAGACGCTGCAGATGTCAGTCAGTGATGATGTGTTTACTGAACAGTATTCCACAGTGGGCAGAGCGAACAACGTTTTTTACTTTGTGTGGAAACTTCCAGACTATCCTCAGCCAAACACAACACATCCCTCATGCTTTAAAACAAAAGGAGGTAGAGGAGTTTGTCCACCGCCCGCAGGGCTGGATCGATCCTCCTCTCCACATGTTGAAGTGTCTGAGCAAGGAACTTAATCCCAGATTGCTCCTGATGGTCGACCAGAGCCTTGCATGGCAGGCTGCTGCTGCCTTCTGTGTGTGTTTCTTTGTTTATTTTGATTTCTTTCTATTAACACATATAAATACTTTCTCTAAGACACAGTACATAATTTGCAAAGGAACGTCAGGAACCAGGAAGTCCCACTGAGATTGAAAGTCTCTTTTGAAGTTAGCGAGGTTAACTCTGGGTTTTCAGTACTACGAAGCTGGTTCTCTTTTTACCGGGATAAATCACCGTGGTAACTGATGCTGAACAGCTAACCTGCTCCGGAGCAGATGAACGTCAGGGTATCGGATCACAGCCTGTCACCACCCCGACCTCTGACCTGTCAGGTCACTGAAGAAAAACCTGTCCATGAACAAACGTCCAGAGTGACAGGTAAAAAAGAGAAACCTATATATTGTTAGAGGTCAGCAGAATCATTTCATTGGTTCAGGGCTCTGTTTCCACTGGTTTTCACACAGAGATCGTTTACACACTAAACACATGATTTTAGCTGTAATTTAACTTCTGCAAAGTTTATTTTCATCCACAATCAGTACATTTACATGGACAGTTTAATTCCACTTTTAATCGGAATGAAAGGTCATTCCGATTGAAAATTAAATCTGATTAAAGGGGGTGGTTTATTCCGTTTGTCATTCCGAATGAAAGAATTTTGTGTGCATGTATACACTCATTCCTCTTTAAGTTCATTCCAGTCTTTCTGCACATGCTCGTTTCCTTGCCCTTCTGGCGCGATGACGTATATAGCGCGCATAGCAACGGGCTGAGATAGAGCAGTCGGACTCGTTGCACTCACCGGTTTCCATTCGCCACAGCACGGTCTTCTATCTCCCTTCTTCGACCTTCTACCTCCCTTCTCCTCCTCAACAGACGAAGCATTAGCAGAACAAGGTTGTTGTCGTACTGCTGCTTCAAGAATATAAGCAAAACAAGCCTGAAAAAGGCACTAAGAACGGTGTCGTCAAGCATCTTGTTATCCTGAGCGAGGACTACAGTGTTTTCTTCTGGTAAACATAAACACATAACATCCGCCCCGCCCCCTATCCAATCAGAAACCTTCCCTGCCCCAAACCTTGTGCAGACCCGAATAAAGGCGATTAAACTGATCTCTGTGTAAACCCTCATTCAGAATGAATATTTCCCATGTAAAACTACCTGGAAAGACTTTAATTCCGAATGATTTTATTCAGATTTATTTCATTCTGAATGAGAAGCCATCATGTAACTGCACCCAGTGTTAATCAGCTCCTGTTATTATAAATGCCACATTACGGTCAGACAGATGTCATCAGTCATTAACTAGTCTTTACTTCAGCAGCACAAACAGTCTGGTGTTACTTTAAAGTGTTTATGTGACATATTCAGAGAAGTTTCATCATCATCACACTAAACAGCAAAACAAACCCATGCCCATAGCTCAGTGATACCTGCACGTCATTTAAGTCTCGGATGACGTTGCTGGCAATTAACAGTCCCGGCTCTTTCACATGAACACGCTCATGGGTGGATATGAAAACCCAGAGTTGCCTGAACTAGCTGATAACCAGCTTTGTGGCACCGGCCATCCAGATGGGTGTGACGAGTTAGTTGAGCCAGATAACTAAAACATATCCTGGGTAAGTTGAACTGGCTCCGTAGTACAGGCCTCTGGTTGATGCAGCAGCCAATCAGAAAGCATTAAAATGCAACAAATACAACATATAAAACAGAAATCCACAATAAAACAACAACTATTCAAACACAGTGACCTCATGTCTCTGTCACCACACTCTGCATGACGCCCTTAAATTCATCAGTGGATATAAGTGTTTCTAATTTTAAATCTTTTTGAAGATTTATCTGTCAATAACTTAAACACATAATGAAAAACAAAACAAAGACATATTTCAGCATTGTACTTGACAACAATACACCCCCAGTACACCAACACACTGTTACACAATAAGGACTGAGACAGTGTGTGTGAAGGGATGAATGAGAGGCAAAGATTGTAAAGGTTTGTAAAAAGCCCTTTAGATAGAATAAATGCAGTTCATGAAGCAAAGCGAAAAACTAATCTGAATGTGTGTGTTTGTAAAGTGTGTGTGTGTGTGTGTGTGTGTGTGTGTGTGTGTGTGTGTCAGGGTGTCGTGTGAAGGTTGTGCAGGCTGACAGCTTCACCTGCTGGTTGAACGCAGGAAGCTCAGCCTGAGGATGTGATCACATGATGGTGAGATGATGAGAACAGCTTGTTAGTTCCTGTCTGTTGAAATCCTACCGTCTCATACAGGACTCACAGGTTTGTTTCCATCAGTTAGGTTTGCAAATTGTAAATGTTGTAGATCATGATCGGTAAAAAAGAAAGAGGAAAACTGTTTTTTTACTGTTTAGACAAACAAATTATATTGATAGTAAATAAGATTGAATTTCTTCTTCTTTTAATTGAATCTTCATTTGAATCATGACAAACAAGGTGTTCGGCCCGTGGCTTCAGCAGGTGCTCAGGAAGCCTTCAGGTTCATCATGGGCGAGTAGCGTTGTTTTTATCGTTTCAAATGAGGATTCAATTAAAAGAAAAGGCAACTCAGCCTTCATGTGTTCAGTGCATCTGTGTATTAAGTGTCCATCTAATGTTTCCTGCCGTCACCTGCCTCACGCTGTGAGCTCTGACAGCTCTGTGCACGGTGCATGTGCTCTTGAATGAGTTCAAACAAATTATACGTTCAGTTTTTCTGTGAGTGATGGGGGAAAGCTTTCACTGTTGCTTTTTAAAGATTTAAATTTTTACAAAACCAAAATTATTAATTGCTGCATATTGTGTCAGATTTAAGCAAAACTGCTAAAATATGTAAAACCTACTGAGGCAGCATGTGACATGTAGTTCTTACTGTCTGCCACAAGATGGCAGCAAAACCTTGTGTATAATAATCCACAACACTGTGTGTGTGTGTGTGTGTGTGTGTGTGTGTGTGTGTGTGTGTCAAAGACAGCCCTTTCCTTCATATTTTGAGGTTGTAGTGTTTTACAGTTAAATACACACATAGTAAGAGACACTCATTTCTGTATCAGTAGCTCCTTTAGGACCCCTCCATGTACAAAATACTGATTTGTCCGTCTATAGTTTTTCAAGAAAAAAAGGTTCAATAGACTAGTTATAGCTTCTTAATATAACATTTACTTACTCCTCCTCATTGACAAGTGAGATGAACCCAGTCAATATAAAAATATTTTGTATTTCAAAAGTAAACTACGAAACACATGATGTGTCCTACTTTGCTGAAAAGTTAATTCTCAGTGTGCAGTGGATGTTTCAAGTGTTGACACAAATCAAATCTTTTAGTTTAGTACAATATAGTAACGTAACATTTTTCGGGACACCAGGCACAAAATAAATGTGTCACATGACCCTTGTCTGACAGGAATGTTATGTCGGTTTTATGTAACTTTGTTGTTATTGTTAGAGCATTTAATTCTGTGTCATGGGAACATCGCGTCACATCTTACAATTTTTTGTTTTGAACTACAAAAATAAATTGTGTTGAGCTCAGGTTTCTTGATGGCAAGAATAAGATCCAGTTTATACGACAACGATTTCAACTGAAAACGGTAAACTTTAGTTGAGTTTTGACTGATCATTTACACGACAGCTGCGTTTTGGGTGCCTGAAAACGCAACGTTTTGAAAACAGGTTCCAGAGTGCAATTTTTTGGAAACGGCAGCGTCT